CATTTCAGCAAGCCAGAATCCCCAAGTGTGTCCAAAGAGGCTCCCCAGTGCCCTGCCTGGAGACCTGCTGACCTTCCATCTCCCACTGAGCCTGCCTGCCGGAGTGCCACCCTCCCCACAGACACACTGCAGAGCTGCCACCAAACGCACAGAAACGACAAACATTTCGTGGCACAGCCCCACTGCAAGATGTGCTGGAACCAAGTGCAGGGAAAGGCAGGTGCCAGCACAGCCCGCCCGGCCCAGCGGCCGCAGGGGGAGCAGCTGAGAGCAGAGCAAGGGCGAAGCACAGCCCCGGGGGAGGCACGGAAGGATATCTCTGCCTCGGTGGAGGCAGCCGAGAGCTGCTCCGGGGAGATCTCCACGCGGTCCTTCCTCTTGTCGGAGCGGCGCAGGATGATCACCGAGTGGATGTGGACGATCCTGCTGGTGTCCACCTGCCACAGAGAGAGCGCTCACTGCCCCGCCCTGCACGGGCACACGGGCAGGGGAAACCGCCCGGGCTCCCACCGACCCACTGAGAGCCGCGAAACAAACCCTGCAACCCGTTTGTTGGGCTAGAAAACCGAGATTCCTTCACTCAGGAGCGAGGGGATAACTCCATGAAAGGCACACCCAGCAACCGAGCAGAGCAGGGCACACGGAACTGATGCATATTCACACACTAATACATATTCACACACTAATACATATTCATCGCACTTCTGTTCCATACTCATCGCGCCTCCCGAACACACGCCGACTGCTTCACTGGGGTTATTTGAATACGACTGGGGGTCTTTTGAGGTCACGCAGGAACATCCCTTTCCCCAAACGTCCCTACTCTGGTTCTGGATCTTCTAACGAACACTCTTCCCCTGAGAGTATCATCTCACACATATGTGACGTGTGATGATGCACTTCTCTTTATCGTTTTTTGTTCTCAAAACTACGACACCTGCTAGCACCTGTTAATTACTGATAGGGGTAAACAAGGCAGCATTAAATGGCACAAGTCTATCAGTCACGGATGCGAGGGGTTAACGCAAAGCCGCGTTCAGCCCTGGTGTTTGCCCTGAGCACTCTACGGTAACCGCGGCAAACGCTATCGTGCTAAAGAGCCCCAAGCCCGCCTCCCCCGCCGCCGGGCGGTACCTCGCCGATGCAGAGCCCCATGACCTCCTCCTTCTCGGTGCTGAGCGCGTGGTTCAGGCACACCAGGAACGCGTCCGCCTCCAGGTGCACGGCCTGCACCGCCATCTTGCCTCCCCCTCACGGCCGCGGCCCCGCCCCCCGCCCTGCCGGGCCAATCGCAGCGCGGCGCGCGGGCCCGCCCGGCCAATGGGCGCGGCGGCCGCCGGGGCGGTGCGGCGCGGCGGAAGGGCCGTGCCGCCCACGGGAGCGGCGCCGCCGGGGTTCCGCCGGAGCCCGCGCCGCGCCCGCGCCCGCGGCGGGGCCCGGGGGGCGGGCGGGGCGGGCGGCGAGGCCGGCCCGGGGCGGGGCCTGGCCCGGCCCGGCTCAGGGCGGCTGGGCTGGGCGCGGGGCCCGCCCCTCCGGGGGCGTGCGGGGAGGCGGCGGGGTGTCGGGCGGGGGAAGGCTTACCGCGGCGCACGCGGCGGCGGCGGTCACGGCGCGGGTGCAGGTAGGTCATGGCGGGCCCGGCCCGGCCCCGCCGCACCGGCGGACACCGGGGCCGCCGCACAGAGCACCACCGGCCCCGCCGAACACACACACACCGGCGCCGCGGGGGCTCTGACGGTGCGCTGCGCCCCCGCAACCCTCCGGCCCTCCGTGTCCGCTCCCCGGCCCGGCCCCGCCCCCGCGCCGCTCGCCCTCCCCGCGCCTCTCCCCCGCATCACGCCGACCTCTCTTTGTCTCCCTGTCTCTCCAGATCCCACCACAGCTCGACCCGCCCTCGCCGCGCGGCTGGACAGCCCGGCTGGTCGGTGAGCATCCGTACCCTCCGTGGGCCGGGCGGAGCGCAGTGGGGGCAGAGGGGCTCGCCCCGGGCAGGGTAGAGTGCAGACCCCCAGCGAGGAGCTTTAGAGGGTGCCCACATCAGCAGACAGCTCACCTGCTGCCTGGCTTGTTGGCAGAGCCGGGCTGGGTGTTTGAGGAGAGCCCGGCACCCCCGGAGCTCCCCGGGGCAGCTGTCACACCCCAGCAGAAGGCCGGGCTGGGCAGCCTTGCTCTGGGAGCTGCCGGTGTGTCAGCAGCACCTCCCCTGCTGCCCAGACGGCAGCTGAGCCCTTCTAACTGTCTGACTCAGTTGCCTTTTGAAACAGAAGGTGCTAAAGGGTGCAGTTTGTTCAGCACACTGAGCTCCAGCTCTAGGGTGGCCCAAGCAGCATCTGGAGCAATTTCTTTCACTGTTTTCTTAAATATATTTTAATGTACCCGGTTTAAAAGCAAATAAATTGTCTTCACCACAAGCTGCAGTCCTCCTTCTGGCCATTATCACATTTATCCATATATTGTGTGGCTCAGAAATCCACCCAGGTCCTAGAACAGCATTAATCTTCTAAGGCTGATGCTAAGATGGACAGAATACCTGTGGGCATTATTCCTCTCTTCAGGCCTCAGGCTTTGAACCCACCCAAAACAACCCTTTAGACAGCTCAGCCTTCTACAGTTATGTTGATGGGAACACTAAAATCTCTGTCAAAGGATGATGCTGCAGTCCTGCAGATTTCAGCTGACTGGGTTTGTGTTGAATGTGGCGGGTTTTTAACAGACTGTGAAGCAAGAAACCCGAGTTTAAAACTTGTTTAAAATATAAGTCAGCTCGCTTCTCCTTCCACCCGTGTCTTCCTTCAGGCTTTGGTGCTGCTTTGTGATACAAGCTGCAGCAACAGGAGCTGTGTGTGTGTCCAGGTGCAGTGTCTAAGTGTGTGCTCGTGGGATCTCCCGTCTCTGTGGCGTGTTTGGGTGCTGCAGACACACCTGCCCCACCTCAAACCCCAACTGACGGTTCTGCCTGACCCCCAGGTTTTCTGTGTGGCACTAACTGGGCCTTTGAACTTTGAACTCTGAACCCAGAGCTGTGGAGCTCTGGGGAAAATTGGGACAGATCAGGTGGGGCAAAGGGTGCAAACACAGATTAACCTCTGCCCGCTCTGCGCGGTGTCCTCTGCTCGTTCTGTCCGTCCTGGGTCTGTCACCGCTGCCATCTTCATGCACAGTGAACACACATGCATGCTGTGCTTTAGCCCCCTGCCTGTGGCTCAGCCAGGCTGCACCAGGTCAGTGTTTGGACAGGAGACCTTGCAGGAGAGTTTACTTGCACAGTTCACTTACTGAGTCACGTTTTTTTCTGTTACCGGAATCTTGAGCCTTCTGGTCCAGGGGATGACGAGATGTCGAAATTCCAGCAATAAAAGCAAGTTCTTGAGCGTTTTTGGTCGTAATGGAGCTTTTGGCAGCTTGCTGCAGAGTAGGAGAGTGTCCTGGCCAAATTCCACCCGGGGTGATTACATTCAGCTGGCTGAAAGTGAGCAGTGGCAATTTTGCTGCGTTTCACTGCTGGGCAGAGCGATTTCCACACGGGGGTTTAAATTTGCAGAGTGACTTCAGGTAAAGCAGAAAGGAAAAGACTTACAGAAATGTCCCTGTAACCCTCAGAGCTGATTCCTGAAGGCTTCTCAGCCTGCTGACACATTCCTCTAAATGCCAGTGGTCCAGCTGCTGGGGCATTGCTTGGAATGGCTGCCCCACGCCACAGGATGGTCTTCAGAACAGTGGTGCTTTGTAGAGTGCACATTCACATCCCCACACACCAAGCGAGGAAACAAAACAGAACGGGAGAAAAAAAAGAAACCGTAAAAGAACGTTCCAAGTTTTCTCTGTTAGGAATGACAATACTGTGACAGTGCTGTTCAGGCTGATCCGTGGTTGGTGTTTTGTTCTCCACAAAGCTGAGTGCTCCTTTGGTTCCAAAAAGTAGAGAAACACTGATGTGAGATATGGAAAGCACCACAGACTTGTATTTCCTGTTATATATGTACCCCGATGTATAACAATTTTTTTTTTTCTCTCCCTGACTTTCCCTCCTTTATTTTGTACCCAGATTTTCTTGCTCCTGTCTGAAATATGCCTTATAACCTTACAAGTTTTCAGAAGACCACTGTGTTTCCCTGGGATAAGGAATATTGCATCTGCTTCATAGCAGGAGGATGTTGTATGTGTTACAGCTTAACTTTGTTCTACTTTAAACCTAGATAAAGGATGAAGACTGTCTGTACCATTTTGATTACCTCCTCTAGGGCTCAAAGAGAACCATTTCCCCTGCCCTCCATTTGCTAATGGCTCAGCTTGACCTCACTGGCACACAGATAAACGTGCTGCTAAACAAAAAACCCAGTAGCAGGAACCACCTCAATGCCCAAAGCTCCTCTGCCCCTGCTGGTGTTGGAGGCTCTCTGTGACCAGCTAAAAGCCGAATGACAAGAGTCTCCAGAGCTGCTCCTGAGAAGTTTTGAGTGGGACTGGACAGTGCTGGCACCCCTGTGAGAGATGAGACCAAGACCCTGCACGGTGATGGCTCTGAGAGCTCCAGCCGCGAGAGTCGTGCACACTGAGCTCCATGCTTTGTCTCCAGAGTGATCTTCGTCCTTAACCTCATCCCACCTCTTGCCACAAGCCTTGCTTTCGGAATTTAGACCACCACTATTTCGCCCCCGCCCCGTTTTGCACAAGGACTGTTAATAGGACTGTTAGTGGAATGAGCAAAGCCAGTGTTCCCAGGGTTTAACTCCGTACCAATAGCACCTTTTGCCCCAGAATGCCTTACAAACGCCACACGGCGCCCGTGCCCCGGTGTACAACTTGGCCTGACGTCTCTCTTGGCTTAGGCACCACCTCAGCGTCCCCAGCTGACTTTTAGGGCCGTTTCAGCCCCGTAGCATCTCCGCCAGCGAGCCGGGCACCGCCTGCCCGTCAGGTCCGGGAGCCGTCCCCGTGGATGTGCCCGCGGCCGGCGAGGCCATGCGCGCATCCCGCGGGCTGGGGCCGTCCCGCTGAGCTCCTGCAGCGCCCCGGGGATGGCAGAAGGGGGGGCGGCCGGCGCTCCTCCCGTCCGGCTCTGGGTGCGGCGCGTGGGGGTTTACTGCGATGAGCACCGCAAAACCTGGCTCGTGGCTGCGGAAGAGGCAAGTGTGCGCTTTGAGCTTCCCTAGCGGTCGTGGCGCTGCTGTCGCAGGTGCCTCCGCTGCGCTGCCGGGGGGACTGATCGTTGCTCTTGTTTTGTTGCTCTCCCCTCCAGGAGGAAGGTATGCTGAGGGCTCGGATCCAAAGAGTTCAGGTTCCCCTGGGTGAGGCGCTGCGACCCAGCCAGCTCCCCCCATCCCGGCTGCCTCACATGTGGCAGCTGTCCCAGGGTGAGCAGTACAGGGATAGTAACTCTCGCGTTTGGGAGATAGAGCACCATCTCATGGTAAGGATGGTGGCAACAATAGACCATAGTCATGCCTGTTTGTGAAGTCGTTTGAGATCCCTGAGGGACGGCAAAGGACTGTTGTTTTGTTGAAGTCCATTAGCTCGAGCACAGTTACTGTAGACGTATTGAACTTTTCCTTGTCACTTACAGCTTGGTGGTGTTGAAGAACTGCTGCTTAAACTCGTGCCTGGGGATTAATCTGGTATGTGCAGACATTACCCCTGCTTTGTACTGTGCACTGTTTTACTCCCAGTCTCTCTTTAAACATGAACTTTTGTCTTGCAGGAGCAGTGGCTCTAGGAAGATGCCATTGTCTGTTTTGTACAATAAAAGGTTCTCTCTCCACTGAAGTGCAGCCACCTCTAAGGTGGAAGCAGTTAAACAACACACAGCAACATCACACAGGAGTTTAGGACAGGCAGTGAGGAGGAGTGTTGTGACCAAGTGAGACGTCAGGGGGAGTTCTAGGTAGGCAGAACGTCATTGCCCCAAGTGGAGTTTGGCCAGGATGCTGGAAATGACGCCCCAGCGATACTGAAAAGTGCTGTGGGCTGGTGACCTGTCAGAGAGTGGAAAGGCAGCAGCTCCCTGGCTCTGAGCAGAGGCTGAACTGTGGCTCAGGGGAGCTGAACTCCCACCACCACTTCCAGTGATGGTGGTGCTTTCCTGTTGAGGTCTCCCATTCAACTGCTCGTACCACCAGCTTTTGCTTGGCTTTGTATCCGTCCCAGAGGATCACAGTTGCAGGTGTCACAGCTACAGAGAGTCAAACTGAGTGTTTGTAATCTTGCTTTCGAGTGATTTGAACAAGATGGAGCTGCCCTCCAGTCTGGTGGTTGGGTTTTTTGGACAGAGGGAGGGGATTTCCTAGAGCAGACCAAAAAAGGCCCTCTTTGTTGGCTTTATGGGGTATATACATCCAAGTTTTGTTGGTTGATTGTCTTTTTAAATGCCTTCTCCAGCTGCTGTCCCATGACTAACACTGAATCCTGGGTTGTGTAGAGCTCACAGAGAAGGCCTTCCCTTAAATACGTGGGTTAGTATAAGGTGTAGAGACACAGAACTGTTAAAAACTAGTCAGCCATGATGTTTGAATCTTTGCTGGAGTCTTGGTGCATCCAAGTGCAAAAAGACACATTGTGACCAGAGAAAAGAAAAAGGCCTTTAAATGTAGCAACATAAACCTTTCCATATTCATTGTCCACGTTATCATCTTTTAGCCAGACACAGAGAGTTCTTGTGTATGTTGGCTGTCATCTGCAAGCAGCAGTAGATGTTTTCTGGATGGTGACAGTGGGGGAAATGGGGACCTCTTGAAAGCTTTGGCTTTAAGACACTTGTCTTCCCCCCACCCCCCGAAAAGCACCTTGTTTCTACAGTAACATTTTCCTGTCATTTTAGTTCACTGAACATGTCCAAGAAGGATCCGTGCCAGAAACAAGCCTGTGAAATACAGAAATGCTTGCAAGGTACCAAGTGTTTTTCGGTCTTTGGTGTCTTGATTTTTGGTGGAATTTAATTCTTTTAACTTAACCTTGTGGTCCTCTCACCCTGAGCAGGAAAGGAAGCACATCAGGATCACCCGATTGCAAAGCAAACAAAATTATAACGTCTGATTTTAATAGAATTGCCTTAATTGTAACTAATGAGACCCCCAAACAGGTCATTATAATAATGTGCTCAGAGTGTTTTCCATGCTGGTGGTGAGATCCCAGGTGTAGTCCTGGGACTAAGCTCTGGGCAGGGAGAGTTATAATAAAGCCCTTGTAAGAGGGCTGGGTGGCTTTGCAGGCTGCAGCAAAGTGTTTGCAATCTGCGCAGGTGACACAACAACCCCAGAGGCTGGGGAGGAGCAGAAGGAAAAGCAATAATCAGTCGTTGGTAGTTGTCTGTCTTCCCCAGGATTGTTTTCTGGAAGCTGTGTTTGGCTCAAACAATCCCCTCTTCATGTCCCCAGCATTTGTGTAGACACTACCTTTTATTGTTTTCACGGTTGGGAGGGTTCTCCAAAAGATCTTGCCTGCTTCCTCTGTGAGACTCAGTGCCCACTGTAAATCTCTTTTGTGTTTTGCTATCCACTGTATGACTAAAATGTTGCCTTTTCAGGAATGCATCCCTGACAGATGACAGGGTGTGTCTGAATGTAGCCACTGTTTTAGAAACAAAGCTGCAAAGGCAGAGGAGCCTTGGAACACTCATCATCTGCAGGTTATGGCAGAGAGAGATCAGCTCTCCTCCCCAAGAGCCTGCCCTGCCTCCTGGGCTGCCATCTTGCACTAAGCACTAACATCACATCCCCTTTTCCTCAGGGGTGATCTCTGTGCTTGTGTCACAGTCACACCAGTCCAGTGAGGGAATTCATGGCCCAGTGGTCAGAGCAGTGTGCTTGGCTCATTAACCAGAAGGTGTCCACCCTCTGGGTTTCGTGGGCTCTCCAGTGCTTGCTGTGTGTCTCACATTGTGCTGCTGTTGCTTCTTTTAGTCTTTTAAAAGTCAGTGGTTGTGGAGCTCATCCAGGGCAGTGGGGGTGGCTCTGCATGCCCCCTGTTCCCAGGCAGACAGGCAGGTGGTTATTAACTCAAGCCAGCCTCAGCCTGCTCACATCCCTGCAGGGCTTCTCTCCGATGTGAGCCTTTGGCCAGAGCTTTAGAGAGCTGAACCTAAAGAGAGATTTCTGTAGAGCAGAGAAAACGATGAAACGCCTGTAAGCAGCTCCTGCTCGTCAGAGAAACCTGCCCAGCAGCTGAGGAGCTGGGCTGGGTGTGCCCTCCGGGAACAAAGCCTGTTTCCCTCTGCAGACTCAGTGTCTCCTTCTTCTCTTGCAGCGAACAACTACGTGGAGTCCAAGTGTGAATCTGTCCTTCGGGAGATGCGCAAGTGCTGCGCCCGCTACCCCCAGGGCAGGTCCATCTGCTGTTCAGGCTTCGAGAGAGAAGAAAGGGAGAGACAGAAGTTTAAGGTGACTTCAGAAGGAATTCCCCCACCACCTCAGTAACACAATGCAGCTCCAGTGAGTGCTGGGGCATGGACTCACCTGCAGAGCTCGTGTGTGGTTTTTTTCAAGCCTTCTTTAGACTGTCAGGAGAGCCCGAGCGCTCCCAGAACACACCGCTCGGCACACCAAAAAGTAAAACAGTACCAACAGATGGCCTGGTTAACAAACTGTACCTTCTGTACGAAAACACCCTCTATGTTGCCTCTGCATCACACCCGTGAAAAGTCAACTCAGTGTTTTTAGAATGCTTACCTTACTCTGATCCATCCTTGCTCTAAAAATGGAGAATTGGAACCAAGCTATTCTGGCTCCTGGAGCGAGAGGTACAGGAAATGAGCTCAGAAGAGTGAGTTTAAACGTGACACATGAAACAAGCCCATCTTCACACAACAAAGGTATTGCTGCCATCAGGCAGTAGTTCCAGACAATGTTTGCCTGTCCAGTGGCTTAAGCTCAAGAGTGGGAATCAGGTCTGATGATTGTTCCTAAGTCTTGCATAGATCATGAGTGACTTACAAGTCACTTTGCCTAAGTGCCTCCCTTTCCCACTGGGCAGACTTGTTTATTTTATATTTGAATTGCTTACATGCTGCTATTTGCATGATAAAGACGTTACAGGAGCATTATTTCAGGGATTGCTACAGGGATAGGATATTTTTTTAAAAAAAGCAATATTCCTTTGAAAGATCTGACTGTTGATACAAAATTTATAAATTATGTCTAATTGAACTCCTTTAAGCAATATGTTATGAACCCAGTCTAGTTCAACCTGCTGAAACCCAAAGGCCTGTCACAGAGCCCTGGGCTAGATCCAAGCACTGACTTAGGCGCTGCTTACTGAACAAGCAGTCGTAGGCACCGGTTTTCCACACAGCATTCCAGACTCACCACAATCCGGCTGTGTCTGGACCCCAGGAGAGATGGCTTTTCCGGAAGCTCTCAGCCACGCAGCAGAATTTCCTGTGACCTGTAGGAAGAGCTCAGTAGACAGGTTCCTGCACCACCCTTCAGAGCTGTCTCGCTGTCCCCTGTAGCAGGAGTCCAGGCACCTCAGTATCAGCTCCACACCCACTAGCCCTAACTCTGTCATTAGATCTAGCCGTCAAGGACTTTGTGCTGTGAGCAAGTACCACTTACTTATGAAATACAGCTTCTATAAACAGACCACTGAGGTCTAGGCACAATAGTCGTGTGTATTGAAGCCTAGAAGAGCAAACCATCTGTATTCACTGACTCTGAAATACCATGGTACAAAATAAACGACTGGAACAAACTGCGGCCTCGGTTTGGTTGGTTGGTTGGGCAGCTTGGCTGCCAGAGCCACGTGTGATATCATCGGGTTTAAATAGAAGCTGCTTGATATTTTTATAACTGGGGCTTAAGATCAGAATAATTTAGGGCTAGTCTTCCGTTCCCACTCCCCTTCTCCCCAAAAAATAACCCCCTAAGACCAAATGGGGGTACTAAACGTACCCTTGAAAAGTAGGGGGAAATTATGACAATGTTGTGAAGCAGCTCAAATGCTGACAAGTAGCTCATTTTTCCATTTTGCCCTACCTGATCAGGAACAGTGAAAGCCAAGTAACTAATAGATGATTAAAAATATATATTTAGGCTTCTGTTGCAGCTATGAAGAAGAAAAAGCCTTGTCTCCCTGCCCTGTTCTAGCTGGGTGGAACAAACTTTATCAGCAGAGGCTCTGAACCCAGGCTGGCAACAGAATCACCTCCTGCCCTAGAAGCATCCCACTTCTTGGGAATATAGGTGATTGGTGCCAGGATGATCAAGGAGAGGGATTTATTAAGGCAGCCCACAGTTACCCACACAGAAGAGGGAAGGCTGGTGGCACAAGCCTGGATGCTGTTGGCCACCTTGGCCACCTGGGCACATCCCAGACTCCTGGACTGGCTGTAGCTGCTCCCCTGAGTCAAGCACGACACACAGAGTGAGACAAACACGCTGGTCCCCAAGAATCCAACAGACCTCACACACAGAAGCTATTAGAGCAAAACTGTTTAATAAAATACCACTTCAACAAGCATTTACATACAATATATAAAACCACTTTAAAAGCTTAATGTGTTTGAAATCTTCTCACACTGTAACAGATGTCAGAAGTTGTTTAAACAAGACTAGAAGGAGCAGGAGTGGGGAGGGGAGGGACACCTCATCTTGGCACCTGCAGCAATGAAAATGCATCCCCAGAGAGGCTGATTCAGCATCAAAGCTCTGGAGTGTGAGCCCACAGCATCAAACGGTACCAGCCACGAGCCCAACACCGGCACAGCAGAAAGATTTGCCCCACCCCGATGTCCTCGTCCACTCCCTGCCCACATTCACAGCAAACCCAACGTGAACTTGCTACTTGTTTCTCCTTCCAGCAGCACTTGAGGCGTTTTAGCTCCCTCTCTGGGCCATTTCTCTCCGTAGCAGCAAACTGGGACTCCAGAACGCAGCACCCCCTTCCCTAGGGCTGGGCAGAAATAGTGACTTATTTGAGCCTGGAAAACATCCCTAAGGTGTGTTAGTGATTTGCTTTGAGCTTTGTGGACATCAGTGCATCTCAGAAGAATGTGCTATGCAGCCCACCCAGCTAAAGGGCAGCAATGCTGTTTCCCTACAGGAACAAAAGATACCCTGCAAGGCAAATGTACCCCTTCAGGAATGTTCACTTCTGCAGGTACTACAGGAAAATAAAAAACCAAACCAAACCCCGCAAAACCACCACCATCAACTGTCACTCCACTGCCAAGCACCAATTTACTGGAGACCTACTGGCTGCATCACATCATCCCTGCAGCCCTGGATGGCTTTTAGGAAGGCCATGGTTAAAAGGATGTGGGCCCAGCTGCTCCCTCATTCTCCTTGGCCACGAGTGGCAGGACAGGAGCAAAGACACAGCTTGTATCTCTTGGTTATCTGCAGCCTCTTTTCAGATTCTGAAGGACAGAAAACCTCAGTTTAATCACTGTGGTGCTACTCTGACACTTCAGTCGACAGAGCTGAAACAAAATTAACAACTGCAAGTGCTCATTCCAAAACCTCTGGTGGAAGAAGCCCCTGTTTCAGCTCTTCCAGCAGCTCTCAGGGGAAGATCCCCATTTCCAGCCACACTGAGAGCACCAGCAGCAGATCCCAAACGCATCACACAGCACTGGAAACGGGGTGCAGCTGCTGAGCCAGGTGCTGCAAACCAACCACCCCCGAGTGTCACCATTCCCAGCATTTCCCATTGAAGGATGGGCTGACTTTCCCATAAAACCCCACGTTCTGGGCCAGAACTCCCACGTGTACCTGCTGGAGGACATCACCGTGCTGGCCTGCAAATCTCCATGCCTGCAGAACACCTCGGAGGGATTTGTGTTTGTCATTTTCTCCTGTAGAAATTCTAGTAGAGTTCTGCTCTGCCAAAAACAGCTGAGTTCTGCACCTGGCTGCCTCATCACCTGCAGGAGAAGGGCTGCAGCTGATGGAATTAAGCAAGCAACTTTTCTTGTGGAAATGGCAAACACAAAGAAGAAAGGAACATAACCAAGGCAGAAAGGATGCAAATGAGCCACTCCCATAAGACTACAACCTGGTTTTCCCAATAGTTTTGTCATTTCAGTTGCTTGCAGAGGCCAGGAAGATGGGAGTTTGTGCTCTGCAGAGACAGGTAAAGGACTGCACTCCAGATTCCACATCATCCCCCTGCTCCAGCAGAGCTGGCAACCCTGGCCCACTCCAATGTACCCCAAGCAGGGATGCATTTCCTGTCTACCATCCTGCCCCACACGGTTACACCTGGATGAGCATCACCAATGCCAAAGTGACCAGTGAAGGTCATGGCAGACACAGAAACACCAGTCAGAGGCCCAGGGTGATTTACAGTAAGTGACACGGCTGAAACACCAGCCAGTCTGACAGGTTGGGCCTGCTGGGAGGAGAGACCCTCAAAGGCTGAGCAGTCAGGTGGCAAATGAGGAGCTGCTCTGCAGCACAGGGAGCTCGGTGGCTCTCACAATGCATGATGAGGAAAGGGCCTGGAGACTCAGTTTCCATCAGCAGTGCAGTGCTGCAGTTCCAGTATAGGGAAATCTAACAGCAGAGAGGAAGCAGAACAGCCATCTGTGCGGTGCAACGGCAGGGGGAGGGCAGGAGAATCCTTATTCACCTGCCCTGGACACAGCTCAGGCTGTGCCCTGACGCTTCTGCATCCGCCCCAGGACAGCCAACCACATTTTGGATGGCACAGACCACCTGTGTGCAGAGGGAGGCACAGGTTTGCCAGGTACCAGGGCAGGAATACTGAAAGCTCAACGGTGAACAGCTGACAGCTGTTGTACACACATACTGGCAGACAAATGTACGTGTAAAGAGTCCTGAGCGCCTGTGGAAAGCACATTTAAAAGATTTCTCTGCCACTACATGTTTATGAGACTGCAACTCATCAGAAAAATTTGGGACTGGGCATATTTGGTGGGGAAAGGAATCATAATGATACACTGGGATAAGCTTTCAGACTGATCCCAGCACACTGACAGCCCAGACCGATGAAAAGTGTGGAAATCAGAAGCAGAGTTGTAAGATATAAGGGCTGGAACCTGTGAGCAGAAGGGACTGAGTCTGTTGGCAACATCCTTTGACTTCTAAGTGAGAGATAACGGCAGTACAGGAGGGGAGGGGAGGTTGGGCACGAAAGGAGAGTCAAGTGCAGCTTCTAGGATGCCATCCCGATCAAGAATCCTCCGGCAAACCCTCCAGTCAGGATAACATTCTTCTTCAGAAATATGATCACCTAAGCAAGGGAGGGAAGAGGCAACAGTGTCCAACAACAGCAGGTCACCCACCTACCCTCCCCATAAGAAGAAATCCCTCAGACTGTTCTTCAAGGCCAGTGATGCTCAGAGATGCCACTGCTTGGGTTTGGGGAAGTGTCCAACCTAACGACCTCCCCTCCCCTCTCCCCAGTGCCCAGCACAGGGGACAGTCACTGCCCTGTCCTGCTGCCACTCTGTTGCTGGCACAGCCCAGGTGCCCTTGGCCTCCTTGCCCCCCTGGGCACACACTGGCTCCTGTTCAGGGGCTGTTCCCCAGCACCCCCAGCTCCTTTCCCCAGGGGCACTTTCCAGCCCCTCAGATCCGTAGCAGCCCAGGAGTCAATCCTGTTTTCCAGCACAAGCCTTGGGAGAGTTGTCTCACCTCATCCACTCTGCTTTTCACTTCTGGAGGCATTTTATTCCCACTGCTGTGAAATTTCAGCTGCTCCTTGGCTTTGTTCATGTCCCGTTGTACCATATTCCAGTCCACTTTGATGTATCCCGTGTGGTTTGCAATCTAGGAATTGGAG